TTTAATTGCAACACACTAAAAAAATGTTACAACCTTATAGTTTGTACCTTCTTCTTTGCGATAGTAAAAAAATATATTTCTAGATGTCTTAGTTTTTGTGTAATGAATTTTTAAAAAGTGCATGTTTTCGTCGAAAAAACGGTCTTATTTTTAAAAGTAAGCAAAATCGACTAATAAAAGTTTTGCTTAAAAACATTATTATAAAACTCTAAATCCAAAAACGCTAACAAACAAATGGTGTTTCATTTAAAAAAAAACACAAGTTTGTATTGTAACTTATTTTTGAGACACGCTGTATAGTTAAAAATAATTTTAGGCGATGGACTAGATGTACCATATATATATTTTTTTAATTTTACCATTTAAAGGTCTCTAATAGACTTTTTCAACTCGCTGGGACACCTGTATAAAATTAACAATTATAGTTTTGAATCAAATTTTGTCATTTTCTTCTGAATTTAATATTAACATTTGCAAAAATGTTACAACTGATTTTTCATTCTAAAACCCGGAAAAAAATTAAAAAATCAATTAAAAATAAGGCCAAATCTAAATGTTTCCAATACATTAAAAAAAAATTCCCAACATAATTATGAAAGTTTTTGTCGAAAAATGTTTACCCGCCACTGATAATTTTACATTGTCATTTTTTGTTGAACGATGATTTATCAACAGTGTTTCGCCTCTGGTCTAGATTTTACAATAACAATAATCAATACAGGAAGAGTACCAAAAAAGCAAAAAACGAAGGTAAACTTCGTTGAAAAATAAAAAAGCAATTAAAGGTGTTTTCTTTTCGAAACCGTGTTATTTGGTTACGATTTGAGCATGTAGGTAGGTACGTTTAAACCGCTATCTAAAATATTCTTCGAAATGTAACATTTACGGATCCATTAAACTAATTAAAGTGAGATTAAAATCTTCAAGTTTACGCAACAAGAAACACCCGAGATTTGAAAATCTTCAACAGTGGTAATTAGTTACGTCAAAGTTCGTGGTCGTAAAAAACACCAAAAACCTTATCAAACCACAACGCCCAATTTATCACAAAACATTTCCTTGATTCATGCGAAAAATGCTGCAATAATTCTTCAAGAAATAAATAGACAATGGATGATAATATTTCTTATCAGCATAATGTATGTGCTCTGTTTGCCTACATTATTGACAAGTCAGTCATGTTCCTTTTACAAAATAAGACGATAAATGCGATTATTTGGTCATAATCTATAACTTGCAGTGAAAATAATGATTCATTTAAATTTAAATGAATCATCCTGAGTTGGAACGAGGAATGTTTCGGTCACACTTATTTATTATTAGCAAATAAAACAAAAATTCCAATTTAAGAAGCGAACGTTATCAGGAACATGTAGGCGGCTGTGTTGTGATTGTAACATTATTACTTATTATTCCTGTGGTTTGCAATTGATATTCTTAATAAATAAATAACAAACAAGATCCTTGATAAGTTTTTCTCCTCCTTTTTAACCCACTTTCGTTTTACGCAAATAACATATCTAATCGTTAAACATTTCACGTCGCTTTTCCTAAAATGGCTCAAAAATGTCATTATCGCCCAAAAATGAACATCCAAACTGATGTATAAAATTGTTTTCGTCGACGCGTCACACTTACCCACTAAACAAATGGAATGTAAGCAGAACGAAAATAACCAAATTATTGAAAATTAAAAAGATAAGAATACAAGAACCGGCGAATGCAATTCCAAATATTCGACCGTGCGTTCTATTTTTGATGTTGGTCGAACAGAATCAGATATAGAATCATGCGGAGAGGTGAACACACCCGACCTTATACAGGGTGAATCATTTTTGCAGCGTCGAATTAAACTACGATTATTTTTTTCCTTTATGATTTATTGTCACTTCTGCATCGACAAAATTTATTTGCATTTTTCAAATAAGAACCTACAATTATCTTTTACTTTTGAAATACATACATATATATTTGAAAACTTAATCAAAGAAATAGAAAATTATACAGAGTGCGCCAGAACTCGCGCCCCAGAGAAAAATGCCATCTAAAGTAAGATACCAGGAACGTGGATAAAAAGTTAAAAAAAAATATCTATAAAAATTTCGAAGTTATGAGAGTTTAAATTTTGCACTTTGACTCTATTTATTCTGTTGGAAAAATAATTCATCAATCAAGTTTTTTTGCTACAGGCTATTAGAAGAGGAAACAAGAAAGCTATATCCTAAATTGTAATTCTGTTCAATGTTATTTGTGGCTTTTATTGGCAAAATTTTTGTACCTTTACTAAATAATTGTAAAAAAACATATACAAGATCATCAGTACGATTAAATAGACAAAAAAGTGTCAAATGTCAAAAAATAAATGTAAAAATTTTTTGACAGAGAATTTTTTACATTTTTTTCATGTTCCTGGTATCTTATCTTACATGAAATTTTTCTCTGGGGTCAGAGTTCTGGTGATCCCTGTATAACAATATCTACAAAACAATACAATTTTTGTAACTTTGACAATAAAAATAATAATATCAAATAATAACAATAAATAAATACATACCGAATATTAAATATGTATAATAAAAAAATATATTAGTTGTGATAACGTGCTACATCATTTGTTTATATAGTGGATTACGAGTTCAGGACAAATAAAAAACTTTTCCTTAAATGACCGACGTTTCGAAATTTTATTATTTCATCATCAGGGCTTATATTACTAATTTTTTGACAAATAGATTCTTTTTAACATTTTTTTCCATGGTCCTTTCTCTGGGACGCGAGTTCTGACACACCTTGTATACAGGGATCCTCAATAAATATCGGACCAGTTGTTCAGAACCTCAAATAAAATAGCTGTATGTATAATATTTAAATAGCAATTAATATTTAAAAAATTCAAAGTTTAGAGAGACGAAATGTAAAGTAAAAGAAAAGTACAAAGTTATGGTTGTTTGAAAATTGTACAATTTGAAAAGTTTTATAACACCTTAGACATACTGAAAAAGTATGGAACCTAGCGTTTTTTTGCATAAAATAATTACTTTACAAAAAAATAATTAGTACATTATCAAGTACAATAAAATGTGATCGTTTTTCAAGAATAAAATTTTTCAAAATTTCTTTTAGTTTACGAGTTTTGAAAAAAAAATATTTTTTTAAATAGCTTCCCACAATTAAATCTTTTTTTTACAAAGGCCACATTCTAAGAGTTACAATTATCTCCATTTTCTTCAATTTTTCATACCCAAAATTCAAATTTTTATTAATTATTATTTTCTAAAAGCAAATGATTTTTAAAAACGTTTAATTCCCTACTTTTAATTTATCCTGTTTAAGAAAAATACATGAGAAACAAATGAGTGCGGTCCTAGTAATAAAACCTCTTACATAGTTAAAAATAAAACAGTTGAAACAGCTTTAAAAACTACATGACAAAATAAAATATTTTTATTAATAAAATCAGTATTCTTCGACTCATCCTGTATGCCAACAATGTTTAATATTTTTTACTACGACTTGTGATAAGTTCACACAAAGTATTCTTTTATGGCTTCGGAAAAAAAGACGATCATTCATCGTTCATCTTGGACTGGTATCGAACGGAAATACTACACATGTTTTATAAACTCTTAAAGACATCCACATTTGCATTGTATCACATCAACGTTTCCCTTTTATTCAAAGATTGCAATTTTTGCATAGCAACACTCCACATTTTTTCTACAAATCCGATATTTTTTTTATTATTAATCTAGTTGGCAATTAAACATCGGAACATCTGGTATATGTTAACCAGTACCATTTGTTCCGAAATAAAGTACCACCTGTTGCAGAAGAATCATATACTTAATTTTCACACGTAAAAACATAGTGAGCTTTTGTATTGTCATAGTAACCAAAAAAAATAAATAAAAAATAGCCACCGTCACGCTATTTAACGTCGCGGTTATCACAATTATGTTTTTTGAACTCGGACAAGTTAAAATTTTGCGGTTTTTCGATGTTGTTTATTAACTATGAGTAAAATAGATGCAAGTAAGTGTCTTTTTTTGTAATTTTTTCAACGTAAACATTACAATCATAAAGAGAATCTAAATTTTGCTCACTGGGTCATTAACTTTGAACGTCCCGAGATCAACAAACTCTCGGTTGTTTAGGTATGCGTTGGAAACGAACATTGGCGAAAAAAAAATCCTCACAGAGACCGTCGGATGGAAAAGAAGTAATGCTACGATCAAAGAGTGGTAAGACGAGGTCAGAATGTCGTTTTGTTTGTGAGGCCGGGTCAAGTAGCCGTGGAAATGCAACGCTCGACTGTTTTACAACAGCCTCTTGTGTGTGATTCCGGTTTTCGCGAATAAAAGTATGAAAATGTTACGTGTCGGCTTTCGGAATTCCGAAAACATATATTCCGCACGAATTTAGAAAGTTGGATTCGAGCCAAATTCTTCCATAGGTGTGCAACGTGTAAAAATACGAAAAAAAATATTTTTTTTTGACATATAAACACCCTTTCATTTATCACGATCGATGCATGGCAAACTGAGAATTTTGCGACCGGAGAAATGAAAAATTAACATTTTTCCGCACGGTGGGTGTTTAAATTGACACGGATTTTTTTTCGGATTTTCACAATCTTGTAGTCTAGGAAAATGGGGAAAAACTCACCTTAGATTTTAGCAAAAATAATTTCTTTCCAATTTGGCACGGCACAGGTTTTTATTAAAAACGACAACTACCCAACGTACTCACTACACGACTAAAAACCAGAAATTTGATACTAAAAGAAGCTATTTATAAAAAGTGCGCACGCGCACTCAATTCCCGGGTATTTACGATTATTTACACCCTATTTCGAACACTAACCACTTCCCGGAGCAAAAACACACAAATTTAAGCACTATTTTGACAATTTTCGCGTAAAAACTAAAAGAAATGTGTGAGGAAATTGAAATTATTGACAAAAATTGACATTTGACACTTAAATGTCAATCACGCATGCGCCACGTTGTTTATAAAGTCACACCAATTTTTTTCAAATTTATCCCAAATCGAAACAACTCAACAATTCTAATTACTTTGAAAAACACCAAAATTTTCAAATTTACAAAAGTAGTGTAAAAAAACAACCCCGGGAATCAAGCGTATTGATTTAGCGGAGATGTCAGTGTCGTAATTGTAGCCACAAGATGTCAAAATTCGGTAGTAACAATGGCAGATAAATTACAAAAAAAGCCTTCAAAAGGCATATTAAAAAATTCGAGCAGTTTCGACAAACAAGAAGCACATGCAGCTCCACGGTACGCCCCTTTAGATCCCCCAAACAGCCCCAAATTAAAAAAATGAATCATCCAAATTTTGTTTGGTTAGGAAATTTCCTCTTGTGACTAATCGCCCCTTTTTCAGAAAATCCATAAATAAAACAACATGGGACGAAATGAATATAATGGCAACGCTCCACCCACCTGATAAGGATTACGGACACATGAAAATCGACGAACCCAAGACCCCATACAACTATTTAAACCCAGATAAAGTCGATGGTCTAAATCTCTCCGAACTTGAGGAGAAGATCAAATCGGGGGCCGCTCTGCCGCCTAAGGCCTTGCTAGAACAAGACGACTCCTCGGACGAGGACGAGGATTTGACCCCAGAGGAAAGAGCGAAAAAGCGGGAATTTGAACATAAACGTAAGAAACATTATAATGAGTTTTATGCGGTGAAATTGGCACGAAAATTGCTTGAAGAAGAGGAAGATGATGATACGTCGCCAACGAGTTCACCAAAACATAAAGCACACGAACAGAGCTGTTCAAAAAATTCTCCAAATTAAAGTTTTGTAATTAAGAGTATTTATTGAGTTTTTTCTTGCGGTTTTTAGACGGAATACCAAAATATGCCATAAATTTAACATCAAATTTATTCCGTCTAGGTTATTGCTGATTTGAGCTCTATTGGCTGTGGTAATGTTTTGCTGATTAGGTGAAATATTTGCTTTTTTGCTGATTCAGTCAAGGGGTTTACCCCAACACTGGCATTTTTTCGGTGTCAGGCGTAATTTTTACCTTTATACAAATAGGATTTCCATTATTTAATAATGAATATTTATTTCTTTTAATGTTTACGTTATGATGTCAGGAGTTGTAATTAATTCTGTTACAATAAAATAAATAAATAAATGTGGATAGACAGTAAAGATACGGAATATAAGAATTTATCCAATAATAAATGTTTAAATAAAAAATTCTAATATGTAAAAATTCTCAATAAAAAATAAAGAGACTTTTCCTCGTTTTATTTCACGTAATATTCCCCACACCCAATTTGCAACAATTACGTAATTATTTACAAACTAAATTTAAAAAGCTGATAAGTCCAGTAGCCCGATTTACAAACCATTCCCAAATTCATAATTTCTAGATAAATGATAGTAATAAAAAATTCTTAACGCAAAGGAGACTTCAGGTTTAATTCCAAGTAACATTTTTTTACACCTGTGTTTATAAATACATAGAAAATTCTATTAAAAACAATACGTTCGGTAGCCTGAAATTTAAACCATAACCCCACTTTTCTAACCTCACTTTTTTGTGGTCTAAAAAATGGGGAAATCGTGGGCCGAATTGGGTGTAAATCTTCACAAAGAGGTACAAAATGCCATAAAAACCCTCAATTTTCCAACAATGACACCAATTCAAGCGGCTGCAATTCCACAATTATTAAACAAGAAAGATGTAGTCGCTGAAGCTGTAACAGGTAATTTACATTTTTAATCGCAAAATTCCACTAAATCGGTTTATAGGGTCCGGAAAGACGCTAGCATTCCTCATTCCGCTACTCCAAATACTCAAACAACGCGACAAATGGAAAAGACAAGAAATTGGGGCTTTGATTGTCTCACCGACACGTGAATTGGCCACTCAGATTAAACAAGTTTTAAACCAGTTACTTGAGTCGATATCAGTAAGACAAACGTGGTGGAAATCGTTGATGGTTTTATGTTATTTTCCAGGGGATAACTTCTTTGTTATTAGTTGGGGGTAATTCAGTTGAAGAAGATTTCAATAATTTAAAACGGGACGGTGGCAATGTAATTATTTGTACCCCGGGTCGATTTGAAGACTTACTTTCGCGCAAAAGTGATTTTAACTTAACCTCAGCTTTGAAAAATTTGGTAAAGATCAAAAATCACCCAATTTTTCTTTTCTCATTTTTATTGTAGGAAATTTTAATCCTAGACGAAGCCGACCGACTGCTAGATTACGGTTTTCGGAAATCTCTCGACGTAATTTTGAGCTATTTGCCGAAACAGAGACGTACCGGTCTTTTTTCAGCCACTCAGACTAAACAATTGCAAGATTTAATCAGGGCCGGACTCAGGAATCCAGTTTTGGTCAGCGTTAGTGTGAAGGCCGAACATAGCACGCCCGAAAAATTAGACAATTATTATATTATTGCGAATAATAATCATAAATTAGCGGCACTTTTTACATTTTTGCAAAGTCGGTCTGTGCAAAAAGCGATGCTTTTTTTACCGACTTGTGCCGTCGTTGATTTTTGGTCGGAAACGTTTCCTCATATTTTTGCCGATTTCCCGATTTTGGCGATTCATGGAAAAATGAAAGAGAAACGCAAAAAAATTATTGAGAAATTTAAAAACTCAACTAGAGGATTATTACTATGTACTGATGTTCTAGCAAGAGGAATTGACATTCCGGAAGTAATTATTATAATTAATTTGAAGTAATTGGGGCTAATTTTCATGTTTAGGTTGATTGGGTCCTCCAGTGGGATCCCCCGGCCAGTGCTAGTGCTTTCGTTCACCGCGTTGGTAGAACTGCAAGACAAGGACGTCAAGGATCGTCTCTCCTTTTCCTCCTCGACACTGAAGAATCCTACGTCCCTTTCATCGAAAAAAATCAGAGAGTCAAACTAGACCAACTCCCCGACGTTTCAAACACTAAAACTAGTGAAAATTTGAAAAACATTTTACAAAATTTGCAAAAAACTGATCGCGATATAATGGAAAAAGCCAAAAGGGCATTTGTTTCGCACGTGAGAGCCTACTCGAAACACGAATGTTCGTTATTATTGCGAATCAAGGAATTTCCGTTCGGTCAAGTGGCCACAAGCTACGGTTTACTCCAATTACCGAAAATGCCCGAACTGAAGAAACACAGTTCGGCCGGATTTGAGCCCCTCGAAGTCGACCTCAACACGATTCCCTACAAGGACAAACAAAGGGAAAAAGTAAGACTACAAAAACTGGAAGTCTATCAAAATACCGGCTCATGGCCGGGGAAACCCAAAACTGTGAAAAAACCAAACGAGCCGTGGTCATTAACTAAACAAAAGAAAAACGAAAAGAAAGAGAAACGACTGAAACGGAAACGGGCGAAAGAAAAACCGGGAAAAAAGAGGAAAAGTGGAATAAGTGAAGAGGATTTGGCCGAATTAGCGCGAGACGTCGCCTTAATAAAGAAATTCAAGAAGAGGAAAATCTCGGAAAATGAACTCGATAAGAGCTTCGGTCTGGTATAAAACTGGCAACATTGCGTCACATTGTGATTTGAGGTTATATAAATAAATCCTATTTTGGTTGTCTTGCCGGTTTTATTTTAGTCCCGCGCAAACGCAATGAAAATTCGCACACTTAAAAACACCTCTTTTGTTTATTTATTCACTTTTCGCCCCCCAAAGGCATGATTGTGTGCCACTTGAACCGGCGATTTAAACATTACTGTCTGGGGGCTCTCGTCTTGTACATTTTCGTGTTCTATGTTTTCGAGGTTAGGTCCCCTCAAATCGGGTCACTTTTCATTAAAACGTTTCAGGTTTTCCATTTATTTGGCACATGTCCCCCGCAGGACCCCATCGACGTGGTCTACACATGGGTCAACGGCTCCGATCCACGATTTCTGGAAAACCTAAAGTTCTACGTGAAGAAATACGATTCGTGGATTGATTTCTCCCGATATGACGATAAATATGAGCTTATGTTCTCTCTGAGGTCACTGGAGAAGTATGCACCCTGGATTCGGCATGTTTTTATTGTTACCAATGGGCAAATACCCTCGTGGTTGAATCTGGATTATGAAAGGGTTAGTTTAGTGACACATGAGGAGATTTTCGAGGACACTTTCAATGTTCCCAGCTTTTCTAGTCCTGCCATCGAAATGCACTTGCATAGGTAGAGGAGTGTGTAAAAAATCAACAATCTAAAACACTGTTTCAGAATTCCAGGTCTTTCGAAACGGTTTATTTACTTCAATGATGATATTTTTTTACAATCACCACTCTTCCTCGACGATTTTTACTCCCCGAGTCGCGGTTTTCTCGTTTATTTATCCACATTGTTGCCCCCTTGTTCGCCCGAATGCTCCTGGTTGTTTGTGGCTGACGGACATTGTGATGATGTTTGTAACAACCCCAAATGTCAGATGGATGGGGGCGATTGTGATTCCAATCCGAAGACTTTACACGGCGATGTTATTCTTGACGATCACGACATTGAAAACATCACTTATTTGGCACAGAATTTTAGCCACAAACTGGCCCAACACGAAACAATTAACATATCGCAACTTATCCAACAACATAACAGAAAAATCCTCCTTTTGGATAAGTTGAGACGGCACAAAACACGCAAAAAAACCATTACTGACCCTTATACCGCCTCCCTGCAGCACACGAATCGAATTTTGAATGATTTTTACGGTTTTTCCGTACGCAAAGTCCCAGCACATGCCCCTATCATGATAGATAAAGACATCATGAATGAAATGCAAAGAAAATTTCAAAAACATTTCGATAAAACGGCCAGAAATCGGCTCAGAAGTGTGGACGATATCCAGTTTGCATTTTCCTACTATTATTACATAATACATGAGAAAAAGATCGCCGGTATTGATCAGATTTTTGATAAGTTTGATACGGACTCGTCCGGGTGAGGAGTTTCAACCAAGAGACCAAAAAATCAAAATTTGTTGTAGTGTTTGGTCCGAAAATGAAATTCGGACCGTCATGACGAAATTATACGAACTTCCATTAAACGATGAAGCTTTTCGACATTTTGCTTCCATTTTGATAAACTGCTCCAATTCGGATTTTGTCGTTACGAAAAATTTTGTTAAAAAATGTCACACATTGGCGCAAATTTTGGAAACACAATTCGCAACCGAACACAGATTCAAATTCGAGTTAATTAAAGACTCTGATAAGAAATTGGTCACTTTTAAAATGCTAAACTCGAATTTGACTCAAGTTATCAACCAGTTGGATGACATCCGAAGAAACGCAAGGTTTGTCGTGTTTGTCATTTCTTATTTGATTTTTTTTGCAGGAAATTTGTTTGTCTCAACGACAATTTGGACCACTCTCAAACCACAAACAATGACGTGATTCAAAGACTGATGTTTGATTTTTACACGTCTTTATTTCCAGTTCCTAGCAAATTTGAGTTACCTCAACAGTACAAAAACCGATTTTCCTATATCGAAGATTACAATTTATTGATGGAGAAGAAACACGAGAAGTTTCTACTGGCTTGTGTTCTACTATTTATGATATTATCAATTGTATTTAGCAAAAAATTGTGTAAATTAATTAAAGTTTTAGTCGTGTAAAAATGTGTTGTGCGCATGCGTTTGCAAAAACACGTCCCAATTCTAGTATTAAGTAAAATTTTTGTGTTTCTTCAATAATAAAAAAACACAAGTGATTGGAAAAAAAAATATAACAGTTTGGCGCTCAAATTTGAACTGCTTAGCGTGTAATTACTGCGTTGGGCGTGTTTTAGTCCGATCAATCACCGACGGATGTCCCCATCTCGCTCACTGTCTCTATTCCATGTGTGACAGAAGTGGAGTAGGTGGGACATCTGTCGTTGCTTGAAAATTAAAGGCGTAGCCATTTTGATTTTGACGAATATTGACATACGTCTTGCGAGTCTAGACAGAAAGTCATTTGTTACAGGCAAAGTGACATGTAAACACTTGATTTTCGTCGAAAAACACCGGAAGACTCACATGTGATAGTTTAGTAACGGTGACCGATATTTTCAGCGATTGTTTCAGCAGTTATCTGTGATTTGTTGGTGAAAATTCGTGTGTGTGTTGTTTTTTTTGGTGCGCGATCAAGTTAACCTTGCTTGCTTTCGGAACCGGGTGTCTTTGATGATGGTGTTTTTGTGTACTCGAAACGGTTCTTGATGGGGGACTACTTTGAGGAATTCGCTGTTTTTTAAACGGAATTATGTAAGATTTTTTTTAATTTTTTTTTCACGTCACGAGGTTAACCCGTCTGGTTAGCACTTGGACTGTAATCAGTGTAAATTGATATGCCCTTCCATATTTTCTGTTTCATTTAACACGTCGAATGGTTTAGGTTAGGTTGTGTGTAAACAATTTCGATTTTTCCTAATTAAACTTGAAACGCGTCTATTTGTACATATTTAGCGACAACTTGAAAATATAAAACATCCCTAAATTAATAACCATAGAGATCGTGATTTTCGGGGGTCCCCCCCACCTTTAGAGTTTTTAATGCAGAATTCGTAGTGAAACATATTTCAAACAAGGGTGGATTCAAATAACATATAAGCAGCCATAAACATTTTAAGCATGCACGAACTTAAAAATATAAAGAAAACAGACTGGTGCAAAGGGACGTGGAAAACAGAGACGGAAAATTGGCGTCGAGATGTCTTTTCTTTTTCGGTTTGTTTTCTTTTCTGACATAATGGTTACGTTTTGAATATGAGGTGGAAAACCGAAGCTTGCCAAGAATTAAATGAAATGTTGCTTTTTTGGGTTGGTCATGCTGGAAACCTCAGACACATCATGACACTTTTGAATGGCTTATGAATGACATTTGTTACTATGTGTTGGCCATACTGTTAATTTCAAATGAAAAATTGAAAACTATTGATTTTGATAAAGTAATTTGAATTTAGTTTTCTACATAATCAATCGATTTTTTTATTTGGACGCAAAACATACGAATGATTTAAGGGAAAATAAATTAATTTGCCCACAAAATAATCATTTACAAGTAGCCGACCTTTTGAAGCCCCTTATTTACAACATCGTTATAAAACTGACAAAATTTGATGCAATCACTAACACCCGACCTTTTCACAGTTGTAAACTTTACCGTTTTACCCCAATTATAGTTCCCACTATCACATGAGTTTACGACGACCCAAGTGAGCAAGTCATAAATTAAAAATAATTTTCTCAAAAATGAATTTAATTCAAATTTTTCAATTCTATTTTTTTTTGCTGATTTTATAAACAATATTCGGAAATAAATCTCCATAGATCGTAGAAAAATTATGAATTGACTTTTTGGTCGAAATACTCAAAAAAATTAAAGGAATAAAAAATTTTGGAAATTTTTTTGGTGATTTTTGAAAGGCTGTAACTCATCGAAAAATGGTCGTATTTAGATCAAAGAAAAACTATTTTGAAGCTTAAAGTTTGTAGTTTTGAGAACTTTTGGCAATTTTTTTTTCTGTGTTACGGTTATCACGTAATCCTAAGTAATTGCGCGAGAAAAAAAATCTATTTTTTTTTGTTTTTGCTTTTGGTTTTTTTTTTAGTTAAGACAATGCAAAGGCCGGATAGCTTGTTCATTCATATTTAATATGCTTTTTTTATATTCTCTTTACGTCAATTTGTCGCTGAGATATCTGAATTCAAATGAAAAAATCAGGTGTGAACATCACACAACTTTCCTTATTCCACTTATTTGGAAAACATCCTAATAACGACAATAATTTAGTGTAACCTTTGTGTTAGTGCCAGATCATAGTTGTCGCGGGTCAAGTCTGGGGTGAAGTTTTTTTTTAATTCGGTACCCATATTATTATTATTATTATTATTCTATCACATTTTACTGTTTAATAAGGTATTTTTCATGATTCTAAATAATTTGCATCCCCATGAATTTATTGTATCTTCAACCGTATGCGGCTTCCGACCAACTTTTTGTCTTTGCGGCCGAACGGTTCGACCGATTTTTACCAATTGTTTCGTGCTACGTCCCCTTGCTACAAGTAACTTACATACCAAATTTCAAGTTTCTAGCTCTTACTGTTCTCGAGATATGCTGTTTACAGACATACACACACAGAGAGAGAGTCACACAAACCAACTTTTTTGGTGTCTTGAAGTTATAATTCGTCCAGAAATGTAAAAATCAGGGTAGGTCAAATTTCAGCCGATTACTTTCCTTAAAGGATAATGTAAAAAGATCCTTTTGTCTTTGATCATCGATATCTCAACAATCAATGACCACATACAGGGTGTTTCACATAACTTTACGAGGCTTGCGCCTAATGTACGCACCCAAATATACAAAAGTCACAGAACACTGGATACAAAAAACACACATTTATTTATTTAATTTTTGGAAACCCATGACAGTAGTTGTCAAACTAATCACTGTTTCATTAGTACTCATAAACTGCAGTTTTTCAGAAACAATTATCATTTGTTATATCAAGAGACGGCATGAATATGATTGTAGTTTATCTGTCTTAATCACTAACTAACTAAAAACGTTGTAATTTTTGAAAGGGTGAACAAATTAGAGAAAATTATTCAATTTTTCAAAATTTGTAATCGAGTTCGTATCGGAATATGTATTATTGATTGCATCTTACAGGCGCAGGCCTCGTAAAATTACGTGAAACACCCTGTATAAGGATAGTGTCAAAAACTGGAATAAATGTCTTACAAGATCCTTTTATAAATTAAATTTTTTTTTCACTCTCAACATTGATTTGAAGAAAAGAGAGAAAAGTAACTTTTAGCGTTGTTTTAGTAAATCTACTGCGTATTCACTAATGTTTTTAGTGTTTTTATGTACCCCTCATAACCCTGTAAATTTTTAAATCGATCCTTCAAATAAAAGAATTAAAGGAACAGTTGAACATATTGTTTCTGAATATTGTCTGATCTTCGTCAAAATGAGAAAAACAATTTGTTTTCACGTTACGTGATAACCGTAACACAGAAAAAAAAATTGCCAAAAGATCTCAAAACTAGAAACTTAAAGCTCCAAAATAGGTTTTTTCTTAATCTAGATACGACCATTTTTCTATGAGTTACATCCGTTCAAAAATCACCAAAACATTTAGGAAAATTTTTTGTTATAAGTGCGGAAGGCAAAATTTTACAGCATGAAGTTTAATATTGAAGCATGAAGCGAAGATGAGTGCCTTAATAAAATTAAACGCTATACAAAACGTTTATCGTTTTTATTTGGACCGTTTTTATACATAATTTGAGTATATGGTATTAGAAGGAGTTGGTACAGTGGCGGACACGGAATTTTGGACATCAAATTTAGGACAGTTCAAAAAATGTCAATGTAAGCCACGCTTTATTGTCATTATAATTGACGTTTGAAACTAAAATTTGAAAGTTTTAGTTGAAATTTATTTTTGGCGTCGATTTTCCGAAACAATAATGCCAGCAGTACGTGTTTTTATAAATTATTTTGATTTGTTGTAATTTTTTCTCTCGCTCTCAGGATAACAATTACAAAAACCGTAAGTGAGGTTAGTTGCCTAAGGCCCGTTTTACATTTTTATGTCAGTCGAATGACAAATCGTCCAAAAGTCCGTGTCCGCCAGTGTATTAGAATCGGATTTTTTAACCAACACTACAAATAGTAGATTACAGACGGAGGTGGAAGTTTCTTCATTAACAAGGCAATAAGCCTAGTTTCGATGGAGCAACGACCATACTATTTTATTCGGAATCATTCAGAACAGAAAGCCAATAAAAATAATAATAAAGATTTTATCATATTTTGAAAGATATAGCATACGACAGTCCAGGTTGGGAAGTGACCATTTCCCGATCTGAACTGTCATATTACTTATTAACTGATACGGAAATGACTACTTCCCAACCTGAACCTGCTATTTTATATCAATTGTTAAAGGAAGTTGAAATGTCAAACTTTCCAACTTTTTACATGCAAGATAATTTGATTATTATTTTATGATTGTGAATAAAATACATTTCTGTTCTAAATCCTAAATTATTGTTGGAAGGTGCCATTTGTTGGCAAATAGTCCAGATTTTTCATTTTTTAACACTTTTTCCTGTCCGAATTAGAATTGCAAAAAACTTTGTTTTAAAAATAATGGTTTGGGACAGTCACGACTGTACTGTATTGTTTTTCCTCGATTTTTCCACACTGTTTATTATTATTATTGGCCATTATTTAAATATTGTTTATTATTTGCTTTCGTAACGATAATAAAATGCTTTTTTTAATGTTGGAAAAAATAATACACCAAGTTTTATGATTAAAAACGTATTGGAAAATTGAATTGAAAAACACATTAATTTGATTTTTATATGTAACGGCAAAATTATGGAATAATCTTATTTATTAAAACTGAAAATATTTTGTTTTGGCAAAAATGCTCAATTTTCTTTTTAAAAAATACAACATTCTCAACTTGATTAAAATTGTATGTTTGTTTTTCTTATTATTTCACTTTTTGGATGTTTTTTTTTTTTAAACTATGTAATATTTTTTATTTTGGTGTTGTCATTCGACATTTAAAAGATCTATCGAATTGAAATCAAGTTGAAAATTGTGTATTTTTTGAAAAGAAAATTGACCTCTTCAAACATTTTTGCCAAAACAAAATATTAACCCATAATTTTGCCGCTCACTGTATGCAATCGTACAAAAATAAAAACACGCACATTTAAATTAAATTTTTTGCGGACGAAATGAGACCGAGAATTTTTCTTTGGGTGTCGAATGTGCACCAGTCGGAATTGGAGGCACTGTTGCGTGCAATGCAGTGTCGCGTTAGAAAGAGACGTCGTGAGCGTCGCGACGTCATAAGACAGAGCAAGTGCATAAGATTTCTCAACGACAGGAAAAAGGACGGCTTTAGGGGTCATTATGTACAAGTGTCACCGAGGGACAGATTCCGTAGTACAATAATTGTGTTTCTCCCGCCCCAGAACGGAATGAATTAAACATATCGAACGTAGGAAACCACTGACGTATAGAACGAGTGTATAAGGTCACAAATCGTCGGCGATGCTCCACCATCCCGACGTTCTTTTATTAATTTTAACCAAATATTGCCAGAGCAGCTGTTTTTTACTGGCCGCACATTTAAGAACTCGCTTTCTTCTTCTCTATCTTTCTCCAAGCATCGATTAATCGATTAATCTCTTTAGGTAAGATGAAATGGAGTGTGGAGTCCAGAGCGCAATGATCAGCGTGCCACCTGGTGGCGATTCCGTTCCTCAAAGTCTAGCGACGTCGGTTTTTCCCCCGCCAGATTCCGACCAAGCACAGTTTGAAGCCGACAAAAGGGCCGTTTATAAGTAATATCTACCTTTACGACTAAACTAAACCAATTTTTTTTAACTTTTTTATTTTTCACACAGACATCCTTTATTCCCACTTTTGGCGTTGTTATTCGAAAGATGCGAATTGGCAACACAATCTTCGGATCCTCAGTCCAGCGATGCCTTCAATTTGGACATTCAAGCATTTGTACAACATCAAGAACGCGACCGCAAACCCTTTTTAGCAAACGAACCCGAAATTGACGGATTGGTATATAATAAACCACAATTGTTTTCTTTTTGCAAATTTGATTTTTTAACAGATGATTAAAGCCATACAAGTATTACGGATACATTTATTGGAGTTGGAAAAGGTCCAAGAGTTGTGTAAGGATTTCTGTAATCGGTACATCACCTGTTTAAAAGGAAAAATGCAGTCGGAGAATCTTTTACGCTCGGATTACCCTCAAGGTGAGAGATGATGAACGTTGTATTTTAGCTAGGAATTAGACGTTTTAGGAGCTGCAGGATTAATGAATAACCTTGAAAATAACAATAATAACAGCATGATGTCGCACGGAAATTCGGAAAGTGGATCGGCCTCCAACAGTCCGGTGCAATACTCCATCAGTCCGCCCCAACCGGTAAGAAATTTAAATCACGCGCCAAAAGTGGGGTTAGGGTTTTTCATCGCACGTGTTGGTCACACTGACTGCAAGTTCTAGTCACATGTGCAATGTTGCCAGAAGGTGATCTTTATACTAGTTTAATGATTTGGTGAAAACTTTTGAAAAAAATCAAATCTGTGATGATTTTTTAGAAACGTGACTGTGCCAGCAGAAAATTAATGTATTTTTAAATAATTTATATAAATCGGGTATTCGCCCAAATATTTTATTTGATTTTTTAATTATTGATATAGTAAATTCAGTCAAAAATGATCACACTATTTTTTTCTCTATTTTTTTTTGAGCATTTTACACACAGAAACTCAAATACTAAATTTTCTCAAAAACAAGTTAAATAATCGAGACGTAGTTTGGTTTTCTAAATGATATTACACTCAACAATGTAAAAAAATCGCTAAAATGGGTCAAAAAGTACATTATTTTGTCTATTTCTAAGCGTTTTAGTATGTTTTTAGTCAAAAACAGAACTATTTTGCAATATTTCGTTAAAAACAAACCGAAAATTTATGAAATTAGGCCAAAACTATTGTTATTTTTTTTTTAGAGTGTTTTAGCATATTTTTGCTAAAACTGACTGAAAAATTGTGAAATTAGAGTGAAATTGATATAATTTCAGCGGGTCTCGCTGGATTTATTAGTTCGTTTTTGAACAAGATACCATGGGCGTCGTTACGAATTTTTTTTGAAAGGGGCAACCTCATCGCAGTTTAAAAATACATATTTTATTACAAATACAAAAACATGTTTATACAAAATAGGAACATAAAACCATATTTTTTTTAACGGAAATTATAAATGAAATCATAAGACAGGGATCTCTAAAACCATAAATTGGAGTATAAAAGTGTAAAAGTTAAAAAAATATAAAAAATAAAAAAATGTAAAAATTATAAAAGTTAAGCATAAAGTAACACAAATCAGTAAATAACATGAACTTATAAATACTAAGAAAAATGTAACACTTGGAAATCAAAACATACAATAAAAACTCTTTCAAAATAAAAAAATAAAAAAGTTAAAAAATATTATTTATGTAACAAGTTGCAAAATGAGCTTGCAAAAAAACAGTCATTTTTAATCGTGTTTTATACTTACAAGATTTTTGCCAAGTTGGTTGTGAAAAGCATAGGCATCAAATTCGAATTTAAAATCTGTGATTTCAATAATTTTTCAAAATCATACTAGGTTGTGGCGTTGCTTTTTTACAAATTTTAACATAGCGTTTCTAATACTTTTCTTGTTATAGTGTTTTTCAGTTTACAAAGTATAGTAGTCAATGTGGTTAAATCCTGTCGGATTTGATTAAGAGTTTTATTTTTATTTAGTAAAAAATAATGTTTAGGTCACTTCGAGTAGCTTCAGGTCGGTTCAGGTCACTTTAGGCCACTTTGGGTTACTTCGCATTACTTTGGCTTGGAGTAAAAAGAAAGTGTTAAATGTGAGAGATATCCAGACTTTTTTTCAAAAAATCGTGCTACAAAAGACAGTTGGGGGGGAGACTAAGAAAGTGTCAGATGTACTAGATTAAAAAAATTCTAGACTTGCAAAAAAACATTTCTTAAAGAAATGCTTAAATTAAAAAAAAAAAGTCAATCTAGACTTTTTTTCAAAAAATCGTGCTACAAAAGACAGTTTGGGAGACTAAGAAAGTGTCAGATGTACTGGATTAAAAAAATTCTAGACTTGCAAAAAAACATTTAAAAATTTCTTAAAGAAATGCTTAAATTAAAAAAAAAATGTCAATCCAGACTTTTCAAAACATCGTGCTACAAAAGACAGTTGGGGAGACTAAGAAAGTATCAGATGTACTAGATTAAAAAATTTCTAGACTTGCAAAAAAACATTTACAAAAAACATTTCTTAAAGAAATGCT